CAGCCCTGCCGCCCAGGCGTCGCGGTTAGAGACGGGCACGCGCCCGCAGAGAGATGCGCCATGCCGTTAAGACACGTGCACAGGGCAATTCTCAAGATGCACGGGGCAATTAACGGGCTGCCCGGGGCAATTGGTGAAACGCCTGGTGCGGTAAGTGCCAGGCACAGCGCAAGAAATGAAATGCTCGGCGCAATAAGTGCAATGCACAGCGCAATAAATTAAATGCCTGGTGCAATAAGTGAAATACACAGTACAGTACACGCACAGTGCAATAAATGAAACGCCCAGCGTAGTAAGTGCAATGCACAGCGCAGTAAGTGCAATGCACTGTGCAATAAGTGAAATGCCCAGTGCAATAAGTGAAATGCACAGTACAATAAATGCACAGCGCAATAAATGAAATGCCCGGTGCAATAAATGAAATGCCCAATGCCGCACAGTGCAATAAATGAAATGCCCGGTGCAATAAGTGAAATGCACAGTACAATAAATGCACAGTGCAATAAATGAAATGCCCAGTCACAGTACAGTAAATGCACAGTGCAATGAATGAAATGCCCGGTGCAGTAAGTGCAATACACTGTGCAATAAATGAAACACCTTATGCAATAAATAAAACGCCTGGTGCAATAAGTGCAATGCCCAGTGCAGTAAGCACAATGCCCAGTGCAGTAAGTAAAATGCACAGTGCAGTAAGTGCAATGCCCGTTGCAACCAGTTACGTGCCCAGTGCATTCACGAACGTGCATGGTGCAATTAGGGAAAGGCACGCTGATGTTTGCAAAATGCTTCATGCGGTTGGTGAGATGCACGCTGCGATTATTAAGACGTACAGGGTGATGACTGGCCTGCCCGGTGCAACGGGTGAGGCACCCTGCGCAGTAAGTGCAATGAGCGCTGCTACTAGGGAAATGCCCGGTGCAATTAGGGAAATACCCAGTGCAACAAAAGAAATGTCCGGTGCAGTTAGTGAAATGCACAGCACAAGTAGTGACCTTCCTGGTGCAGTTCGTGTCATGCTTGGCGCAATTAGTGTCATTCCGTGGTGCAATTAGTAAAATGCCTGATACAATTAGCGACATGCCTGGAACAACCAGTGAAATGGATCGTGCATGAGTGAAACACCTGATGCAATTAGTGACGTGCCTGGTGCGATTAGTAACACGCCGGGTGCAAGGAGCGATATGCACAATGCAAGTACTGGCACGTCCAGGGGAATTAGCGACGTGCCTCTGCAATTAGTGGCATGCATGGTGCAAGTGAACACAGGCTACATTTAGCCAAATTCCCAGGGCAATTAATGAAATGCACAGTGCAATCAGTGAAAGGCACGCTGAAACTGTTAAAAAGCATCACGTAATTAATGGAATGCATGGTGCATTTATTGGACCACCAATAAATAAATACATTGTGCAATTACCGAAATGCCCGGTGCCATAAATGACGTGCCCTGAGCGATTATGGAATTGCCTGCTGCAACTAGTGACGTGCATGGTGCAATAAATGAAACGCACTGTGCAACCAGGGGGACGCGCAGAGCAATTAGCAAAGGGCCTGGGGCACTGCGACCTGCACCCTGCCATCCGTGAAAAGTCTAGCGTGCGGTGCAGTGCATGTAGAGAAACTGCACCACATGCTGCACGGTGCAACCAGTGAAACGCATGCTGCGTGGTGTGCTTAGCAGCACACACGGTGCTCTTGGGGAAATGCATAATGCAATTAGTGAAAAGCACCACCCTATTTTCCACGTGTTTAGGAAAATGCCTGGTGCGATCAGGAAAATGCCCGGTACGCAGTGCATTTAGTGGCACTGGGTGCACTCAGGGCGAGCGAAACGCTCAGCAAAACGCACAGCGCAGCTTGGAGCATGCACCATGCACAGTGCAGTGAAGCGCCCCGCACGTTCAGTCACAGGCATGATGCCATCACGGAAGTGCACGTCCCGAAATGCAGGATGCAAACAGCAAAAATGCAGAGCCCACCAGGCTTTTTTGCAGAACGCACGGTGAAGGTAGCAAAAAGCTCAGTGCGCACGGAGAAAGGACAGTGCGCAACACCGCCAACGCAAGGCACAGTGCATGCAACCAACAGCACAGTGCGTTTCGCAGAACGCCGAGTGCTTCAGGGCAAGGCACGACGCCTTTAGCACAAGGCATTCAGCGCAACGCCTGATGCACAAGGCGTTTTGCAAAACGCAGGGTGCTCCTGGCGAAAGCCTGGGTGCATTTAAAGCAGTATGAAAAGCAAGAGCCACGTGGGCTTAATTTTTTGCCAAGAGGCCCCTCCCGGCCAAACTGTAAACACTGGGGCAAGCCAGCCCTGAAGCCTGGAGAGACTCAATGGTCCAATTTGGCTGGATTTGCCCCCTTTTTGGGGGCTGCATTTTGACTGGCCTGGATTTCGCTGGCCGTACCTTCATGGGAGCAGTTGTTGTTGAAGGCAGGGGAGAAAGCACGCAGCTCACGCAGAAGGATGGGCTCCGTGCCCCCGCCACCACCTTCGCCTTCAGCATCGGCCTCAGTTTCCTCCTCCTCCTCCTCCTCCTCCTCCTCGTCCTCATCACCCTCCGGGTCGGCCTCGGGGTCGGGCGAACTCTGCATCAGCTCCTCCAGCTCCTCGATGACCTGCAGGGCATCAGTGTCCTCCACCTGCACCTGCATCCTACCTCCACCCCACATCTACACCCTGCAGCCCACAGCTACATCCTGCACCTGCACCTGCACGCTGCATCCGCGTCCTGCACCCACATCTGCATCCTGCTCCCTCCATCCTGCACCGGCACCCGCATTTACATCCACCTGTACCCTGCGTCCTCCACCTGCATCCTGCATCTGCATCCCACGTTCCCATCTGCATCCAAATGCCACATCCCACATTCACACACCCCCACGGGTACTCAGGTCCCGGACCTGCATCTACATCCAAATCCGCATCCTACACCTACGTGCCTCTGGCTCCCTTCACCCCGCATCCTCCACCTGCATCTTGGATCCTCTACTTGCACCTGCAGCTGCGCCCGCTATCCAGCACAGAATCATCGAATCGTTTAGGTTGGAAAAGACCTTTAAGATCACCCAGTCCAACCATTAACCTACACTACCAAGTCCACTCTAAACCAATTAAAGGTAGACTAAACCATGTCCCAAAGTGCCACGTCTGCCCGTTGACGTAGCATCCACACCGTGCATCCGCATCCCCTTCCCTGCACCTGCACCCTGCACCTAGCACCTGTATCCTGCATCCCACATCTGCATCCCACCGCTGCCCCCCATGTTTTCATCCTTCATCCCGTGCCACCTGTTTGCACCCAGCACCCACGCCCCACGTTCCCATCTGCACCCAAAGCCCACACTGGCACCCACAACCTGCACCTCCGTCTACATGCAAATCTGCATCCCGTGCCCTGCATCCCGCATCCCAAGATGATGGGATCTGGCCCTTTTTTTTGTGCTTTCAGCACAGAGCCATGGGGCTGGGGTGGGCTGAGGCCATGCTGGGGGGCTAAAGCCTGGCTTTTGGGGGACACGCAGGCGTTCACGTGCCCACGGGGGCCAGGGGTACCTGCTCAGCTGTCAGCAGCGGCTCCTCGTTGATGCCCGAGTCCTGCTCACTCCTCTCAGTGAGCTCCTCCTCCTCCTCCTCCTTCTCGCAGAGCTGCATGAGACACAGGCTGGGCGGCCTTGGTGGCACAGCAGGCCCGGCCCGGCACAGGCATGGCCCCAGCATGGACACAGACATGGCCCTGGCCCTGGCACAGGGAGAGCCACCAGGGAACACAGCTCAGGGGGACACGCTGCGTGGGGGGACACTGGATGGGGACATCAGATGGGGATGTTGGACAGGGAGACACTGGATGGGGAGATGTTGGATAAGAACGTTGGATGAGAGCATTGGATGGAGATGTTAGATGGGGATGTTGGATGGGAACATTGGATGGGAGGATGTTGGACAGGGACACTGGATAGGGATGGATGAAGATGTTGGATGGAGATGTTGGATGTGGATGTTGGGTGGCAAAATGTTGGACAGGGATGCTGGATGGGACTTTGGACAGGGACACGGGATGGGGATGCTGGATGGAGACATTGGAGAGGGAGACGTTGAACAGGAAAGCATTGGATAGGGAGGTGTTGCAAGGAGACGGACAGAGATGTTGGATGGGGAGACACTGGATGAAGAGTTCTTGGATGGAGACATTAGACGGGGAAGTTGGACAGGGAGAAGTACAGGTATGTTGGATGAAGATGTTGGATGGAGAGATGTTTTAATTAATATATTGGATGGTGACATTGGATGGGGAAGTGTTGGAGATGCTGGATGGAGATGCTGGGGATGTTGGATGGGGAGACGATGGATGGTGACGCTGAATGGGGAAGAGGCCAGATGGAGACATTGGATGGGGACATGAGATGAGGAGATGTCAGAGGGGAACGCTGGATGGGGAGGTGATGCATGGAGACATTGGATGGGAAGGCATCTTCTTTTTTACCACCTTCCACAGATTATTCACCTTTTTAGCAGAAAATAACCCAAGAAATTTGCCTTCTCCTCCCCCTTCAGCACCAGGTTGCATAACATCCAAACGGGTTAAATTCAGTGGATTTTGGGGCATCCTTGCAGCCCTCCCACAACCCCAAATGCAGCTATTCACAGCATGAACTCACTACAACGAAGAAAACACTATTTTCTACCCCAAAAAATACATCACCATCTCACCCCTGGCTTGGGAGTAGACTGGCAAAGACCAGATTGTCAAACCAAACACTTAATTTTGCCTGTTTTAGTGTGTTTTCCTCCTAAAATGTGGACACCCACTGTATTGGTGCTGCGGCACCCCAAAAATACTGGTTTTGGGTAGTTTGCAGTGCCTTGATGGTCACTGAGCCTTGGGACTGACTGACAGCTGTCAAGCATCACCAGGGGGCCATGTGGGGATGGGGGACGGGGAGCCAAGGCGGGGGCCATAGCCGTACCTGGGGGTCGGTGTCGTCGGGGGCCTCAGCCCCAGGGAGCAGCCAGGGCCGGGGGGAGCCCCGGGGGGCGAAGCCATCGGTGAGAGCATCCCAGACCCTGCAGGGAGGTGGGTGGTGAGCGGCGATCCCAAGATGTTGTGTCCCAGAACGCCGTCCCAAAAAAGTATGCCAAAATGCCTCAAAACACCCCAAAACGTAGCACCAGAAACACCCTGAAATGTTCCCAAATACTACCTGGAAAAATCCCAAAACACCACTGAGAAGCCTGAAATACCCCAAAAGACCCCAAATGCTGCCCTAGAAGATCCCAAATGCTGCCCTAGAAGACCCCAAAGGTTCTCAAAATATCATCATGAAATACTGCCCTGAAATACCCCAAAGTACCCCAAAATGCTGCCCCAGCACTTGAGACGCTCCCAAATATTGCCATCAAAATACCCCCAAAAAGGCTGCTGCAATGTCCCAAAACGTCCCTAGATGCCCCAAAAAACCACCCTGAAATGCTCCAAAATGCCACCCCAAAACATCACCATGACGTCCTAAAATGCCCCAAAACATGGTGAAATGCCCCCAAAGCCCCACAAACAGCCCCCCAAATACCATCCTCCTAAAACAGTGCCCCAAAGCCCCAGGACTCTCTGAAAGGCTCCAAAAAAACTCAAAATGCTGCCCTGAAACGCACAAAAATGTCCCAAAATGATCTTCTGCAACACCCCAAAATGCTCCTCAAGGTCCCAAAGCTCCAAAATGCCACGAAATGCCCCCAAATGCCACCTTGAAACACCTAAAAATGCCCTCAAAAGCCACAATGCCCCAAAATACCACCCTGAGATGCTCCAAACCACCACCCCCCCCAAAAAACCCCAAATACCCTTAAGTGCCACAAACCATCCCAAAATGCCACCTTTGAACACCCAGAAATACCCTAAAAGTCTTTCCTGAAACACTGGCCCAAAATGCTCTAAAATGCCCCAAAACGCTGCCCCAGAACACCCCGAAACATCTCAAAATGCTGTCCCAAAAACACCGCCCCAAAAAGCTCTCAAATGCTGCCAAATACTGCCCTGACACCCCAAAACAACCCAAAATGCCACTGGGAAAGACCCCAACATGCTGTCCTGAAACACTGCCCAGAAACACTCTAAAATGCCTCAAAACGCTTCTGCAATGCCCAAAATGCTTCAAAACTCCCCAAAATGCTGCCCTGGAACATGCTGAAATGCCCCAAAAATGCAGTCATGGCACCCCAAAAATGCCACCCTGAAACACCCCGAATTGTCACCTTGAAACAGCCCTGAAACACCTCAAAATTGCCCTGAAACACCCCAAAATACAGTCCTGGAACATCCAAAAATGCTGCTCCAAAATATGCCCCAAAACACCCTGAAACCCCCCCAAACCCCAGCTGTGCTGCCCTGAACCCCCCCAAAACCTCCCAAACCACCCCAAAATGCTGCCTCAAAACACAGCCCTGAAACACCTGGAAACAACCCCAAAACTGCCCCAAACCAC